CAAGAACAAGAACAAGAACAAGAACAAGAACAACAAGAACAAGAAAAAGAACAAGAACAACAAGAACAAGAACAACAAGAACAAGAACAAGAATAAGAATAAGAGCAACAAGAACAAGAACAACAAGAACAAGAACAAGAACAACAACAACAAGAACAACAAGAACAACAAGAACAAGAACAACAACGACAAGAACAACAACGACAAGAACAAGAACAACAAAAACAACAACAACAACAACAAAAACGTTACTTTCTACAAAAACTTCTGAATAACTCAATAAAATTTTAAGAATAACAACAAAATATTAAAAAAAAAGATGATTTATTAGGTTTCAAAATTGAGCTTCCATGAAAAAATCAGACGACTCAAAAAAGAAGTAATAAATTCTTGATAAGAAAGTCTCTCTTGGGTAGAGAAAATGGCAATCAAGAGATCACGAATATTTCTCGGCTTAACTTTGAACTCAAAACGAAAAATGATGTCAAAAGAATAGTAGAAACTCGGTTAGATTCTAACAAATCTATCGGTTAACTTCTAACAAAAGTTGCATTTTAAAAAGCTCGTCAAAATGCTTCGGAATCAAATCGGTTATATGCTCGCAAAATTTGTATTGAACTTGATTTGCATTTGTATTGGACTTAATCTGCATTTGAATTAGACTTGATTTGCATTTGAATTGAACCTAAATCCGAGGCAACGAAGGAAAATCATTTTACATTACTTATTCGACTTATTCGGATGGCTATTTTTGCTCCCTTCTGATGAGCAACGATACTGGACTTTCTGGACTTCAGCAATTACGCTGTGAGCAATTACGTCAGCAATTACGTTAGCAATCACAATTACGCAGCAGAAGAGCGCTGTGTGGGACAACTGGGACAACTAGGACAACCTTCTGATGAGCAACGATTCTGATGGACTTCAGCAATTATGTTGTGGGCAATTACGTCAGCAATTACGTCAGCAATCACAATTACGCAGCAGAAGAGCGTTGTGTGGGACAACTGGGACAACTAGGACAACCTTCTGATGAGCAACGATTCTGATGGACTTCAGCAATTATGTTGTGGGCAATTACGTCAGCAATTACGTCAGCAATCACAATTACGCAGCAGAAGAGCGTTGTGTGGGACAACTGGGACAACTAGGACAACCTTCTGATGAGCAACGATTCTGATGGACTTCAGCAATTATGTTGTGGGCAATTACGTCAGCAATTACGTCAGCAATCACAATTACGCAGCAGAAGAGCGTTGGTGGGACAACTGGGACAACTAGGACAACCTTCTGATGAGCAACGATTCTGATGGACTTCAGCAATTATGTTGTGGGCAATTACGTCAGCAATTACAATTGCGCAGCAGCAGAGGATTGTGTGGGACATCGTGGAACGAGTCCACCTTGCCTACTTCCCGAAATTTATGCCAAGCAAAGCAAGATGTGAATTTCTTTGAATGGATCCTCGAGCAAATTTCTCTTTTTTACCCACCCGTGACTGTCTGATGATCGTTTTTTTTTTGGAAAAGCTTTTTAAAATGCAAATCTTGTGGGGATCGAATCGATTTGATGCAAGGACATTTTGATGATCTTTTTTAAAATGCAAAACTTGTCGGGATATAACCGATAAATACCGTAGAAACATTAGAACTTGTTAAAATTGTTAAAAACTTGTTAAAATTGTTGAAAACTTGTAAAATAAAATAAAAAGCATAGTGTTTTCTCTTTGGATACGCAAGAAAGAACGGTTTGTTTCATTTGAAATATATAAAATATTAAAGAAGGATTCAAAACAATTCAAATCATTTTATTTAATTCAAATCTTTTTATTTAATTCAAATCTTTTTATTTAATCCAAATCCAAACAACAATTTTTTTAAAATTCTTTTGTTTTTCGATGAAAACAAAAAGATAAAATGCAAAAATTGAATCCAAAGCTGTAAAGGAAAAAGGAATCTGCTGAAAAACAGAGAATTTCTTGGATAAACCTTGCAAAAAAGAGTGTCAATCAATCGATTTTTTGCGCCCTTTTTCGTCTCTTTTGACCTCTTTTCAGCTAAATATTTGCCATAAACACAAACAACAAAACAAAATCTTTACATTACTTAACAAAATGTTAAAGGAATTCTTTATTATTGTTGTTGTTTATTTGATTTGTAGGTACTTGTCGGTTATACACTACTGGACGATGAAATATGATATTTGAAAAAAGATCGTCACTTTCGCGCGTCTGTAACTCCCTTGTCTTTACCGTATTTCTAAATATTAATATTACCATTGTGTAGCCCTTGAAAAGAGCTTTCAGAAAATGCATAACACTAATAGTTTAAGCTCAAAGACAAGGGAGTTACAGACGCGCGAAAGTGACGATCGTTTTTCAAATATCATATTTCATTGTCCAGTACTGTACATCCACACAGACTCAACTCGGTTAAGCAAAGAGCTGACAACTTGTGTGGGGTGATTATGTTCAATGAAGTAGAGTGCTCGCCTGAAGTGTCTTCCGAGGCGCTCTTCCGAGGCGCTCTTTCGAAGCGCTCTTCCGAGGCGCTCTTTCGAAGCACTCTTCCGAGGCGCTCTTTCGAAGCGCTCTTCCGAGGCGCTCTTCCGAGGCGCTCTTTCGAAGCGCTCTTTCGAAGCGCTCTTCCGAAGCGCTCTTCCGAGGCGCTCTTCCGAGGCGCTATCTTTTCCAACACCAAAATTGAGTGGGGCACTGTTTGAAGAGAAACGGTAACGATACTCGGATACTTGTCGGTTATACATCCACAGAGACTCAACTCGGTTAAGCAAGAAGCTGGCAACTTGTGAGGGGTGATTATATTCAGTGAAATAGAGTGCTCGCCTGAAGTGATCAGTGGATCAGTCAAACGAAAATCGATAACCGAGAAGACTCGGATGGAGATGCTTCACAGAGATGAGTCTCTGTGAATGTATAACCGACAAGTACCGATTTGTAAAACTTCAAAATAGTGAAGCAGATTTATTTGGATCAAAAAGAAAGCCTCAAAACAAAAAAAAATTGCAAACTGATATGTGAAAAAGCGAGCAGAACCATTTTTACAAAAAAAAAAAACGGTAACCCGTAGCAAATTGCAAGTAGAAACTGCAAAAAAAGCACTTTGAGCAGATGGGTGAGAAAAATTGTATGAAAAAGACTAGGATTGATTAGAGAATAGAGGTAGAGATTAGCAAAAATGATAAGCATATTGAAATTCTATTAAACTATCAAATTGGATTTTAAAAATGAATACAGTATTAAATAGATTACATAAAGTTAACAAAAATTGAACGCACTGATAGTTAAACGTTTTCTTTGTAGTTTGTACTTTGTTCTCATCATCAGAAGTTTAAACGCACTATTTCTGGTACACTAAACTTGTTTGTTTTCTTGGTTTCTTTCCTGTGACGAGAAATCTGAAGATTTAAGTACTCTAGAAAATGTTTGTTTTCATTTTTGAGCATAAGGTACAGTACTGGACAATGAAATATCATATTTGAAAAGCGATCGTCACTGTCGTGCGTCTGTAACTCCCTTATCTTTCAGTTTAAACTATTAGTGTTATACATTTTCTGAAAGCTCTCTTTAAGGGCTACACAATGGTAATATTAATATTTAGAAATACGGTAAAGACAAGGGAGTTATAGACGCGCGAAAGTGACGATCTTTTTTCAAATATGAGTCCAAATATGAGTTCATTGTCCAGTAGTGTACGTTCAAAAACGTTTGATGAACCAAGAAAAATCTCAATAAAGATAAGGCTTATAAGAAAGGAAAACCGGGATAAGTATTGGGTTGGTGAATTGAAAACTGCGGGACTTTGAACCGAACTTTGAACTAAAATCTATTCAACATAAAACCATAAATTCATTCCAAATCATTTCCATTATTATTGAAGACTTCTGCCCATTTTACAGGCAATTTGCTGATTCCTCTTTCGTAGTAGGATTTTGGTTTGTGTGTGAGACAAGTGTGAGGCTCAAAAATCGAGGACTGGAGATGGAGACTGGAGAAGTCCCAGTTTGAGCACTTTCTTCAAAAGAAACCCATTTTGGTGTCAATAGAAAAGTTGTAGAGAATCAAAAATTAGGCTTATAGCCAAATTTCCAAAAAGATACACTTAGTAGTTTCACTTAAAATGCAAGTATTGTGAAAATTTCGCATTTCTTGAAAACCAGTTTTTGAATCGTTCTGAAAATTTGGACCTAAGCTTGATTTTTGATTCTCTACAACTTTTCCATTGACACCAAAATAGATTTCTTTTGAAGAAAGTGCTAAAACTGTGACAAATGACAATAGCCCGCAGTTTGCACCAACCCAATAATTGAAAAATTAAAGATAAATTCAGATTATTATTAAGTTGGCAAGAAAGTTTGTAGAAAAAGTTCACACGATGATTTCTCAAAAGAAAACAAGCCCTTCTCCCAATTTTCTTTTGATAAGAAGAGGGGGACGTCAGAGGGAATCAGCTACTAGATGGTTCGATTAGTGAACCAAGCCCGACGTTGCTTAACTTGGCAGATCTGACGGGATACCGTGTTTCAACGCCGTAGCTTCAGGTCAAAAAAAGAGATTTCTTTAACTGAAGTGACTTGGTCACTTTTTGAGTCCTTTAAACAAGTTTTTAATGGATAAATGGATGGGGAATGGGTCCGTTTCAAAACCTAAAATTAAGTACTTGAAACAGGGAAAATTTGCGATTAAGGGAAATTTCCCAAATTGGAAAATAATACTTTCAAGAACCTCTAAAATTTTGTGGAAAGCTTTTTTACGAGCAATTTCTCCGGGTCGACTTGTAAATCATAGAGCAAAGTGTTCTTGAATTGGTGAATTCGTTTTAAAGAAATTTTAGTGCAAATCTGTTCTTGGCTTTCTTTCTGCAAACACTTTCTTGCCAACCTAATAAATAGTTTAGTCTTTTTTTGAAGCTTCAAGATTTTCAAGAGCTTCAAGATTTTCAAGAGCTTCAAGAGCTTCAAGAGCTTCAAGATTTCACATTTTAATCTCTTCCCATATGAATTGGTCGATCTTCAAACTCAAATTCGGCAGTTGCCGCGTTTTCTCCTTTCTGTTTGTGAGAACCATAGACGAAGGAGATTGCTGACAAAAGGCAAATCACGACAACACTCTGGAGATTTTGAATTAATGGATTAATGGAAAGGAAATTAATGAATTTAATGAATATTGTACAGGGTGCGTCATAATTATTGCAACAAGAGTTCAAAGACCGTTTAAAGACGTTCAAAGTTTTAAAGAAGAATGTGATGTCATGGGCGTGTAAAGCCAATAACAATCAAAATTGGACCTTCATGCAAGATGGAGCTCCCGCTCACACGAAGAAGACGGTTCAGGACTGGTGTGTGGCCAACTTTCCCTCAGTGATCACCAAGGATGAATGGCCTCCAAACTCACCGGATCTCAATGTGATGGACTTCTCCATTTGGGCAATCTTAGAGGCTAATGTCTGCTCTCGAAAACACACAAGTTTGGATTCTTTGAAGAAGTCTTTGACCAAAGGATGGAAGGCGACTCCTCAAGATGACATTCGGGCCGCAGTGGAGGCATATCCGAACCGATTAAGGGCTGTTATCATGGCAAAAGGCGGTCATATCGAAGGATCTCTTGTTTCCTTATTTGTTACTGTTAAATAAAGCTATTTCTGTTTAAAAAACTTCTTCCAGTGAAACTTCTTGGTGTGCAATGCCTTGAGTATCTTGTTGCAATAATTATGTCGCACCCTGTAGGTTTTCTTTTACTAAAGCTCTAAATTTCAATTTGCAAAACTTGCGAAACTCACATAGGCCATATATTTCGAGTAACCAGACTCTCGAACAGACTCGTAGTCCCAGTTGTTCTCGTCCAACTGAAAAGCTATTGATAGCCATACTTGAGTTATGATTAGTCTTTAGAAACAAAAACAAAAGCAATACTTACATGATGTTTGACAACAACAGTTGTATTCCACTCATCGACACTGTTTGAGAGCACCTCAATTGTTGCGAGGACACACAATGCTAAACATAAAGTTGTCTCACAAGGGAAAAACATCGAGTCAAGCTAGTCTTTTGACTCGATTTAAATTCCGGACTTCTTAAGAAGCTACCACAAGCCTCCAAAGACCTACCTCATTGGTGGATACCTCAACTACCTCACTACAACTACAACTACCACTACCCAGGTCTAGTGGATAGTCTGGTAGACTACCGAACATAGTACATTTTTAGCTCCCAAGTTCGAGTCCCACTCTCGCCAAACTTTTTTAAAAACTATTTCCCCAAATATTTGCAATGAATAAATGAGTTGAAGCTCACTTTTGCTATAATTTAATTAAGAAATCACAAGGCTTAGTTAATAATTCAAAAATTGGTCTAATTAAATGCAAATTGACTGGCTGATTGACTACTTTTTAGAACTTTTTAGAAAGTTTTTAGAAAACTATCGTAGTTTTTGAAAATAGGTGCCCTTTAGAAAAGAAATTAGAAAAGAAATTAGAAAAGAAATCAGAAAAGAAATTAGAAAAGAAATTAGCTAAAGCCAAAGGTTTTAAAGTTCGATTAATCCATCTAGCCAAGGATAATCATTTTTAAAAAAGCAAGGTTTATGATTAAAAAGTTTCCAATTAGTTTTCAGTTCTCAATCTTTGCTCTTCAAGAAGTTTCTGTGAACTTTATCCAGATCAAGAACAACAACAGCTTGCCCATTACCGTATTTCGATCTCTTCAAAACAAAAAAGTTCGTCGAGAGTGGGACTCGAACTTGGAAATGTAATAAGCTCGGTTGTAAGCTTTGGAAATGTAATAAGCAAGAAATGTAATAAGCAAGAAATGTAATAAGCTCGGTTGTCTAGCAGAAGATCCACTAGACCACTAAGGTAACTGTTTGGGCTGTTTGTCTGCCTCAAAAGGAGCTCGAAAGTGATTTCCAGATGATTTTCTATGCTAAATATCTCGTGTTTGCGAAGCGTTCTGCAAAAACTAAAAACAGATTCGAGATCCCCATGGTCGACTCTATAAGATGGACTTGGTCTCGAGTCAAAAGGCTAACTCTTGGACAAAAGACCAACTTTCTCTTGTTAGATCTCATGATAACTGCGAAATTTGCATTGATACCCTAACAAATAATTAATTCTTACCAACAACAACATAGAGGGCAGCAACGAGTCTCTTGTAAGTGTATCGATGATGATAGAAAGTGTAGAGTGCGAGGAGATTGTTGGCGATCAAGAGAATCAACGAGATCACACCGATAGCCGCTTGAGCACGATAGAAATCTGAATGTTGATAAATATTTTACAAAAAGCAAACCACTTTTAGTACTGCTTGGATTCTAAAATCTATTAGCTTCCAAACTGCCTCTTTCTTTCTTTTTCTTTCCCTTAATTTTCCATAGCTTAGTGGTTAGAGCATTTGCCGGGAAAGGAAAAACGCTTGAGAGTCGAAGGTCGAGGGTCGAGGGTTCAATCTTTCTTCGGAAATCTTTCTTTCACCTTACTTCCTCTATCTTCCTTAGTTTATTTTATGAATCTCTTAAAACCAACGTCGTAGATCTTGTCCGGCGAGTCGAAGCAAATGCAGGGGAGGTGACGGGAAATGAGGAATCCACTCAACTAAAGGCGAAAATTTTGGTACTTTTGCGTTATATCCCAAAAGAACATTATATTAACATTATATTAACATTATATTAAATCTAAATATTAAATTAAAGAACGTGAAATCCCCACAAAAAAAACCCATGCGTCATTTGCATTTAAAAATTTGCCTGCATTATTTGCGTTATAACCCAAAAGCGAAATGAGGAATCCGCTCAGCTAAAGGTCAAATTTTGTAATTTTTGCGTTATAACCCAAAGAACATTAGATTATGTCACAAAAAAACGTGAAATCCCCACAAAAAGAACCCATGCGTCATTTGGATTGAAAAATTTGCCTGCATCATTTGCGTTATAACCCGTTATAACTAGACTGAATACCCTAATCTAGATTAAAAGCCGTAATCTAGCTATTCTAGCCTGAATATCCTATTCTAGATTGAATACCGTGATCCAGACAGTCTAGACTGAATACTCAATCTAGACGGAATACTCAGATCTAGATGAGGAATCCACTAAAGGCGAAAATTTTGGTATTTTTGCGTTATAACCCAAAGAACATTAGATTATATCACAAAAAAAACGTTAAATCCCCACAAAAAGAACCCCTGCGTCATTTGGATTTAAACCCCGAGAAATTTGCCTGCATCATTTGCGCTATATGCCCATAAAGTTGAAGTGTTAAAAGCGAACGAAACACTTGAATTTAAAGCGTGACTTTTGGAGGTGATTGCAGCAAAATTTGGTTGAAAATCCATTCGAATAAATTCACATTTTTCATTTCGATTCTGACCAACTTTGCAAAGTAATTCGACAAAGGATCATTGAGTTCTTGTAGGCAAATTTTACAACAATATTTTTGCAAGTGATCCAGAGGTTCTTTTGCAAATGATCCAGAGGTTCTTTTGCAAATGATCCAGAGGTTCTTTTGTAAATGATCCTGAGGTTCTTTTGAAAATGATCCTGAGGTTCTTTTGTAAATGATCTTGAGGTTCTTTTGCAAATGATCCAGAGGTTCTTTTGCAAATGATCCAGAGTTCTTTTGCAAGTGATGCAGAGGTTCTTTTGCAAATGATCCAGAGGTTCTTTTGCAAATGATCCAGAGGTTCTTTTGTAAATGATCTTGAGGTTCTTTTGCAAATGATCCAGAGGTTTTTGAAATGCAAATTTTGTAGGACTTTAACGCAAATTGTCCGTGTATTCAAATTGTAAAGAACACACGTTTTTTTGGGATTAAGCTAAAGATTTGTTAGATTTGCTAGATTTGCTAAATTGTAACTGATTCAATTATCTTTTAGCATTTTTTTTAATCACTCACGAATTGGTTTCGATGTGTTTGTGGTCTGTCTCCATTCGCCCCACACTCCCAAATCGATCTTCACAATCTCCCAGTCGACATTCGTGAATTGCAGGTATTCCCATTTGGGAATTGCAATCGCGGCTATCAGAATGATCACGGCAATCTCAAGAAGATTGATTGTTTATGGAGAAGATTGATTGTTTTGGTTAAAGATTCATTCTTTTCAATTAAATCTTTCTTTTCACTACGTAATCTGACTTCAAACTTTCAACCAAAAACCATTTCGATTTTTCCACAAGTCTGCCCGGGTCTGCCTCATTTTTTAAAAGGCCAATCCATAATCTTGTGTATTTTTTACCCTTACATGTTGTGATATGCTCAAGAAAAACTTGTCTTTTATAAGAAAAAGTCTGCTTTTCTAAAATTCAGTTACATTTTTCTTTATCATTTTTCTCTTCTCATCTTCTTCTGAAGATTCGGTTTCTCGTTTTTCATCTTTTGGTAATAAACACTGATCCAAATCCTTGAACGTTTCAGTCACCTGAATCAGGTGACTCAGGTCACTGAAAGTCACGATTCAGGTGACAACAGGACTAACCGGCAAAACCACTCAACACCACTTTTATTCGACTCAAAACGTCCATGACGGCCACCGAGAATATTTCTAATCGATGGTGTTCCCGTTTCTGCACAATTACTCCAAAATCTAATTAAATTTTAGCTTATTGGCGTAAACACTAATCACAAGTAGTACTTTAGTTGTCAAATTTCCCGAGCTTTCCCTTTTCCGAGCAAATTTATAACTTTTCACCAATCAACACGCATCAATCAGGAAAAGATGTCAAAAACATATCACTCTCTCAATCGTTGCTTTCAACTTTTTCATGAGAAAAAGAAGCTTCAAAAGAAGCGACAGGTGCTCTTTAAAAGTTAAGAGCTATTTTAGAAAAAGTCAGTCAGAAAACTGGAAGCAGAAAAACTTGAAATTGAAATTGTAGCCTGACAACAAGCGATAGATTGTTGAACTTGAGTTAAAATCTTCTCACCCATGCCAAGACGCAACTCGCAAACATTAGCCGCCTTCGAACCACCATGTTTTTGTAGGTGCGAGCGTTGAGAACCTGAAATTCAAATGTAGAAATAAGGTACTAAATCTTGGCTAAATAAACCTGTAGATAGCTGTCGAATTGAGCTTTTGTGAAAAGCTTTTGTAAAAAAGGATAACATATCCTACAGTTCTAGCTTCGATAGCAAGTCTGATGCAACGAAAAACAGCTTAAACTGACTGTGTTTGCAAGTGTGCTTCAAATTTTTCTGCATAAAATAGATCATAAACTTATTGATTAGTTAGTTTGACGACTGGTCTAGTTCACAAAATAGTTATTTAGTAATGACGGTAAACGTCCTATTATTTGGCAAAGTCCAAACCTATGCCCAGTTTTACAATTGAATCTTGGGTAACTAAACCGGATTAAGCTAATCCGGTTTAGTTACCCAAGCTAACCTAAGCCTGAGCCTAAGCCTAAGCCTAAGCCTAAGCCTAAGCCTAAGCCTAAGCCTAAGCCTAAGCCTAAGCCTAAGCCTAAGCCTAAGCCTAAGCCTAAGCCTAAGCCTAAGCCTAAGCCTGAGCCTAAGCCTAAGCCTAAGCCTAAGCCTAAACCGGATTAAGCTAATCCGGTTTAGTTACCCAAGCTAACCTAAGCCTGAGCCTAAGCCTAAGCCTAAGCCTAAGCCTGAGCCTAAGCCTAAGCCTAAGCCTAAGCCTAAGCCTAAGCCTAAGCCTAAGCCTAAGCCTAAGCCTAAGCCTAAGCCTAAGCCTAAGCCTAAGCCTGAGCCTAAGCCTAAGCCTCTCAAACCGGATTAAGCTAATCCGGTTTAGTTACCCAAGCTAACCTAAGCCTAAGCCTAAGCCTAAGCCTAAGCCTAAGCCTAAGCCTAAGCCTAAGCCTAAGCCTAAGCCTAAGCCTAAGCCTGAGCCTAAGCCTAAGCCTAAGCCTAAGCCTAAACCGGATTAAGCTAATCCGGTTTAGTTACCCAAGCTAACCTAAGCCTGAGCCTAAGCCTAAGCCTAAGCCTAAGCCTGAGCCTAAGCCTAAGCCTAAGCCTAAGCCTAAGCCTAAGCCTAAGCCTAAGCCTAAGCCTGAGCCTAAGCCTAAGCCTAAGCCTAAGCCTAAACCCGGATTAAGCTAATCCGGTTTAGTTACCCAAACTTAACCTAAGCCTAAGCCTAAGCCTAAGCCTAAGCCTAAGCCTAAGCCTAAGCCTAAGCCTAAGCCTAAGCCTAAGCCTAAGCCTGAGCCTAAGCCTAAGCCTAAGCCTAAGCCTAAACCGGATTAAGCTAATCCGGTTTAGTTACTCAAGATTCAATCGTAATATGCTGTAATGAAACAAAAAAAAGAACAACTTAGCCAGCAAACGAAGAATGCTGGACAAACGAACCAGACGAACCAAGCAGCCAAAAGTTCTGAGCAATGCTATTGAGAATACTTTGTTGTGGATTGAAAAATGATCAAGCTTTAGGGAAATGATCAAGCTTTAGGGAAATGAGGAATATTTAAATAAGCTGTTGAGGGTAAGCGAATGTAAACTCCGAATTCCCATTTCTCACAATGGAAAACAAAAAGCCGATCGTTTGGGGCAAGAGTTGGTGCTTAAAAGACACCTACAGGATCGTAAAATTAATGCGCCTGGGGCTGTAAAATGGGGTTAAAGCTTTTGGAGGGAAGTTTTGGGAGAAATCTTTGGAAGAAAAAAGAGATTTTTAACAACATTAGGTACAAGAACAGTTTAGAAATTGCTTTTTACACTGGAAATGCAACTTTTTGTTAAAGTTTGAGGTTTAGTATTTAAAAAAAGTTTATCAAAGGCATCACAAAAACTGATCTGTTTGATCAGTTAAATGCTCAAATATTGAATAAATGAATCGACTTTTCTTACTCTTCTATACCCTGAGATCAATATCTGCACAACACCAGCAATTGCACTAACCGATTCCGTTTCCTCATCCATATCCATTTTTCAGGATTGATCTTGTAGCAAATTTAGGGATAGATTTAGGGAATAAAGCTAGCAATTATCCGTAACAAAAGAGCGTCTATATCCCTCGGGAAGCGAGAATCATCTGTGTGGGGATTAGCTGAGAAAGGGAAGGTGTAGAGTAGAGGTGAAAAAGAAAAAAATGTCGGCAAAAAAAGCTTTTGCTGAAAGCTGACTCCTCCTCACTCAGATGGATGGACAAGTCTGGAAACGAAAAGAAAAAAAACAAAAGTCTTTTTCTGTCCAATATTTCTTTCTCTTTAACACAAATTGAGGTTCTTTTCATGGATATTCAGCAATGGAATTACCCTTTTTGGTAGTTCCATTGCTGAATATCCATAGCCCGGTCAATAGCCCGGTCTCAGTGCATTTACTCAATGCTTTTTTTTTAAAAGGGAGTTTTGCGGATTACTGGGTTGCCATGGGTTTTCATGTTTGTATTTGTGAAGAAAATTTTCCGGAACATTTTGACCATAAACAATAAGTCAACTCAAATCTGTTAGCTGAGAAAGTTTATCAGATAGAGTTTAAATGAAAATCAAAGATTTAGGTACTTTGAAACTAGATTTTGTTGAAAATTTAAAGTTGGAAATTACAAAGTTAGAATTTTCATCGTTGAATTGGCTATCCAATTGCAATTGCATCAACAATTGCATCAACAATTGCATCAACAATTGCATCAACAACTGCATCAACAGCTTCATCAACAACTGCATCAACAACTGGATCAATAATTGCACCAACAATTGCATAACAGTTGCACCAACAACAGCATCAACAACTGCATCAACAACTGCATCAACAACTGGATCAACAATTGCATCAACAATTGCATCAACAATTGCATCAACAACTGCATAACAATTGCATCAACAATTGCATCAACAATTGCATCAACAATTGCATCAACAATTGCATCAACAATTGCATAACAACTGCATCAACAACTGCATCAACAATTGCACGAACAACTGCAACTCAAAGCAAAGGCTTCACCTCCTTGAATCGAATGCAAAAAACTCGTTTTTTCAACTATTAGAACTTTTGCAAGCTGGATGGTGGACCAACAATGAGGTCAACTTTTCGATTCGAAAATTTCAAAGTTGAGTCTTGCATTGCTTTGCATTGCTTGAAAGTTAACTCACATGCTCATCCTCGTTGATCTCAACTGGTTCCATGGTGTGAAATGAGAATTCAATGAATGAAGGTGAGCTTAATAACTATCCAAAAATTATAGTTATACAGGATCCGCTTTAATTACGGGCACACCCTTTTGATAGATTTGTTGCTAGCGCATTCAATTCCAAAGTGCCGAGTGTTATATAGAATATTAAAGCCTAAATTCTTGGCTACATTTCTGTACTAAAATGTTTCGCATTGGAAGCCTAGAGCTACAGGATTTGTTAGACTCTTGAATAAGCTCGTTTCATGGGTCCATTTTTGCCCGTTTTCTAACAAAAAAAGTTTAATTTTGCTTTAACAAATCTAGCAAAAGGATGTGTTTGTAATTAAAGCGGATCCTGTAGCATAAGCATAAGCAAAGCAATTGGTTTGGAGATGCTTTAGTCTGTGAAAATAGAAGAGAAGGGAGATTTGCGCGCGTGGATAAACACAATACATATGGAGTGCGGGAAATGGGGAAAAGAAAGATGGGAAAAGATTTCAGATCGAGAAGAGAATAGAATAAGAATTGAAGGAGAACAGAGAACAGATGGGAATCGGAAGGGGATCGGAAGAGGATCGGGATGAGAGGATAGATGGGGTTGAGGGGAAGAGATCAACAAGCACCTCTAGATGAATGAACAACAATCTCCACCCTCATCTCTCTCTCTCTCTTTTTTCTAACTCTAAGTCTAAAAGCTTTTCCGGAAATTGCAAAGGAAACACTCTTTTGGGAATTACTCGTTTCTGTGTGGGTTTAGTATTTTCCATTTTCGGTATTTCTCTTCTCTCTTAACTGCATTTTGTTTTACATTGAAGAATAAAATTAATAACATTTTAAGGTTCATTTTTAGCTAGAAAGATGATCAAAAAAAGTTAAAAAGCTGAATCGAATCTAGCTTCTGACTGGTTTAATAAATTACTATAGAACAATGAATTTTCTATAGGTCATTTCTATAGAATCATTTCTATAGAATCATTTCTATAGAACAATGAATTTGTGTGCCAAGTTTCTTTTAGATTTCTTTAGCTTTCTTTAGCTTTCTTTAGCTTTCTTTAGCTTTCTTTAGATTTCTTTAGATTTCTTTAGCTCGCTTTCTTTAGATTTCTTTAGCTCGCTTTCTTTATATTCGTTTCATTTTCCTGTCCTGATAGGGTTTTTTGTTTAAAGGTTCTCTTCTTTGACCGGCGGGACTAGGCTAGGCTTGACAAATTCTAGTTTAGACCAGTCCTAGTTATTAACAAATCTAGCAAATCATTCTAGTTATTCTATTTCACCATAAAAGGGGTTAATTATAATTGCATAACTTTTAAAATTGCTTAACTTGTGATTTTCTCACTTTATTCTCCACCAAAATTGGGATAATAAATTTAGAAACTGTTTTAGACCTTGGCTCCGGTCGTTCCGAGCCCTTGGAGATGGAGGCAGACTCTTTTGACCGGATATCTCAGCCAGATTGACCGGGTATCTCAGCCGGATTGACCGGATGTCTCCGCCGGATTGGCCGGATATCTCAGCCGGATTCACCGGATATCTCAGCCGGATTCACCGGATATCTCAGCCGGATTCACCGGATATTTCAACCGGATCGACCGGATATCTCAGCCGAAGTTCCTCTACCGGTTATGGCCATTGATGAGATGGTGCACGCTGTTTTGGCCACCCCAAATGCGGTAAGTGTTGTTGTTAAATGTTTGCTGATATTAAGAAAATAATATTAAAAGGCTTTTATTAGATTTCTATATGCAGTAAGAGAAGCTCTTTTAAAAGTAAAAAATCTGGGTTAAATCTCTTTTTCATTTGTCTTTTTCTTAAAGATTATTTGTTATTTGTTTTATGGTTTTTCGTATGGTTTTTCTTGAATAAACGCTTTTAAATAAAAGTGATTTTGAAAAAAAATACAAAGTAAACTCAATAAGTAGATTGAGGCTACGGTAATTAGCAATAATTTTACGTGAAATTCGTCTACTGGTCATTGTTGCAATTGTTGAGCTTTTAAACTTTCTTAATCTAATAAATATTATAGTTTAAAGTATTTCCATATTTATTGTATAATTTATATTAGTGTGAAGTTGTTTTACTCACCTGTGATCCTTTGAGTTCAATTGCTTTCTCGATTTCCAGTAGATTCATCTTGAAGGACATCTGACTGAAAAGATTGGAATGAATCGCTTTTTTAATTGAATTGGATTGCTTAAGATTGCTTTTAAGCTTGAATCGCTTAAAAATATAATAGTTTTATGTAAGAAAAGAAGAGGAATGTCTTTAAAATGATTCTGGAAAGAGAGAAAAAGCCGGAAACGGACTTGGATGAGTTGTAAAAAGAAAGCGAGAATGAGATTATACTGGGTTGGATCTTTCAGAGTTTATTTGGTTTTGTGGTTTTGTGGTTTTCCTTTGGAAAAGGGTTTTGCTAGTTTTGCTAGCTTTGCTTCGTAGTTTTGCTGCTCTAACATACGTACAATGATTTTACGCTCTAACATACGTACAGTGATTTTACGCTCTAACATACGTACGGTGATTTTACGCTCTAACATACGTACAGTGACTTTACGCTCTAACATACTTACAGTGATGAGTACAGTGATTTTTGTAAAGTGATTAAAGCTTTAAAGCTCTTATTAACTTAGTAGATTAGTAAACTGCTAAAATAGAAATAGTAAACTTAAAATAGCTAAAATAGCTGTTAAAAGAGTAAACTAGCTTTTGTTGATGAATCTGAAGAATTATGAAAACTAGCGAGCCGTTTGCCGTTTTTACGAGGTCGTTACGAGGCATTGGAAAGTCGGAAATTGAAAATCGTGAAAACAAAAAGTAAATCTATTTCTAATTTTGTAAAAACCTCAATAAAATTTTAATTAAACTGCACAAATATGCGGAAATTCTTTGATTTTAGCTGTTTAGCTGTTTTAGCTGTTTAGCTCTAAGACATTAGCTGTTTAATTTAAATTTAAATTGTTTTAAGCCGATAATTTTCTTTGTTCGAAAGCATTTTAAGCCATCATTGGTCAAAAAATTGCCGCTTTGAAGAAGGAGATTTTGAAACAAGAACCAAGAACAAGAACAAGAACAAGAACAAGGACAAGGACAAGGACAAGAACAAGAACAAGGACAAGGACAAGGACAAGGACAAGGACAAGAACAAGAACAAGAACCATCCGAGTCAAAGTCCACTCAATGTCTAGAACAAGCTTCTCCACACAACAAAAACAAGTCTAAAAGTCACATGGGAAATGGAAAAGAATAAGAAAAAGAAAAGCACTTTTCGCATAGCTGAAATTGTTGAAAGTTGTTGACCTGCAGGGGAAAAGGAGAAAAGAAAGAGTCTAAATAGAGAGATCCATCCCATATCAACATCCCTTTAAAGCTAAAGAAAACACGATGATTGACTTGAGTTAGTTCTGAAAAGAATAGATTTTGAAAAGAACTCAAATTTGGCTTAGCAATGAGAAAAAACTGTTGTAGAGATTGGTACTTGTCGGTTACCGTATTTTCTTTAATAGTAGTGCGCACTACTATTTTTTCAACCCCCCTCCAGCCTGCACTACTATTATAGACTACACTACTATTATAGACTGCACTACTATTACAGAAAATATGGTATAAATCCACAGAGACTCAACTCGGTTAAGCAAGAAGCTGACAACTTGTGAGCGGTGATTATGTTCAATGAAGTAGAGTGCTCGCCTGAAGTGATCAGTCGATCAGTCGAACGAAAATTGATAACCCAGCAGGCTCGGATGGGGATGCTTAACCGAGACGAGTCTTTATGTAGAACCGACAAGTACCTAAAATGTAGAACCGACAAGTACCTAAAAATTTCATTTAAAAGTAATGAAAGTAAAGGAAGTAAAGAAAGTAAAGAAAGTAAAGGAAGTAAAGAAAGTCAAGAAAGACAAGAAAAGTAAATTTGTTAATGTTAATTTTTGTTTTTTTAATAAAAAAGATTTTAAAATTAAGTTTTATTAAGAAAATAAGTTTTATTAGTTCGGGTAATCTTGGGCACCTTGTATACAAATATAGGGGTATAAAAAAGTCGTGATTGCCATTGAAATGAAGATATTCAGCGTGAGCTTAAGATGATAAAGTATTTTGAAAGTTGAAAGAAGTTTGCCAATGGGAATAAGTTCCGGGAACAAGAAATCTAAGGGATCAACAAAAGGATTGTGGATTGATAATTGATAACAAAAGGATTGTGGTATAAAAAGTCGCGATTACCATTGAAGTGAAGAAACTCCATTGAAAAGAAAATCTTGGGAACCTTGTATACAAATACAGGGGTATAAAAAGTCGTGATTGCCATTGAAGTGAAGATATTCAGTGTGAGCTTAAGATGATAAAATATTTTGAAAGCTGAAAGAAGTTTGCCAATGGGAATAAGTTCCGGGAACAAGGAATCCAAGGGATTGCGAATTGATAATTGGCTACACGCGAGTCGGATTCCTGTGGTGTGGATTCCAATCTAATATTTGATCTTGTTGACTGTCAAATTTATATAAATTGGAACAAAATTCGCAGGAATCGTTACGGTAGCTTTTCAAATCAGCCGCCTGCTAGAAAACTGTGAAAAGAAAGATTGAAAGGATTTTTACGTCAAATTGCAACAAATCCTTTGGTGATTTCTATAGTTTTTCCTCATGATCAGTCACTTTTGCAATTGATCCTTTTGGAAAAGGCACAGCTGACTCTTTGTTTGATGATGAAATGAAAAATTACACGCTTTTTCTTTGCGTGTTCTGTTTTCTTATCTAGCCGAGTTGAGTTGGATGTTTTGTGGTGGTGAAATTTTTAGCAAATAAGTTCAAGCAATTGTTAACAGGGTACGAGTTCTTTTAATCACATAGACCGCTTACAATTAGAACCAAATTTCACTGCTCTTTTCGAAAATTTTTGCCAGTCACTTGCAAAGAAGGCAGAATTTGAAAAGACTTATCGTAAAACGTGATTAAAAATTTGCTTTTATATGCTGTAAATTACAAATCCGGTAATGACAATTTTTCGTATGCCTTATCAGCTTTATCAGTTAACGACTACGCGACTGTACACTCAAGATGCCGTCTCATGAATGTGTTAAAAGCAATCGATCAAGATGTGAGTACAGAAAAGAAAAATGAATCCAATGTAAATCTCAAAGATATTTCAAATAGATTCAAAAAAAGTTATACCGAAAGCAATTAAGTATCCGGGTTTTGTTTTAACTAAGGAAGATCGCCTACCTATTCTAGTAAAAAAAGAAAAGGTCAGGGCCTGGCTAGAAGTTTGTTTCTGGCCTTTGCTTGGCTCAAGAACCCAAAGAACTCAAGAACAAGAACCCAAAGAACTCAAGAACAAGAACCCAAAGCCACAAATTAAGCTCTTGGTTTGAGCTGATCTGTTTGAACCTGGTTGCAACAGTCTGGATACATTTTTCTCAAAGGTATTGAATAAATAACGCCAAATAAAAGAATTGTACTTGAAAAAGTCTAATGTTTTCTTTTAAAAGTAATACAAGGTGACCGAAAATCAAAAACATAATTGAAGAGCGTGGATACCAAATCCAACATGCGGTCAGTTTTACACAAAAAGGAGAAGAGGGGAAGAGACTAGTGATTCAGTTGGGAGAAAAGGAAAAGAGGTAGTGCACACAGCTTTACCCTCCTCTCATTTCTTTTATCCAACACTGGGTCACATTTGCAACAACACCTCTTTTCTTTTCTTTAAACCCATTTCTTTTTGTCCTCTGCTCGTGAAATTCATTTTTTTCTGCTCCTTCAATCAGTTAGAACACATGTTGCCGAGGGGTTATTTGAGGATTAGCTTTTGATTGAAGTATTAAACATCAATAAAAATTATGATCGATGAAGAAACAGATTTTGTTAACAAAGTTAACTTTATTAGCGTAATCAAGCACTTTTGAAGGCATGATGTTACCGTATTCTCTCTAAAAATGATGCACTTTCGGCGTTGCCTAAATTCCTCGAAATCTCGAAAAGCGCGAAAAGCGAAAAGCGAAAAGACGATTCGCGGCTGGATTGGATTGCCTGGCGTTTATAGAGAAAAGACATTTAGACTTTTAATAGTTTGATCGGTAAAAAGACACGGGAAAAGACCAACAAAGTGGAAAGACCGGGAAAAGTACAGAAACACTAAAACTTTAACAATTTTTAACAGAAACAGCGGTGGAAACACTAAAAGGAGAAGCGAAATTTGAAAAATAAACCAAATTTTATAACGGAATGGAGAAAAGGGGAATATAGACGCGCAAACGAAACGGCGCAAGCGCCAGGCAGGTCGACGATTCTTCAAATAAATTTTGAACCGATAGATTTCATTTTTTTTCTTTTTTTTAGGGGAAAAGGCAAACGCCGTCCCGGGTACGGTAGCTTAGATGTATTTTAGAATTTAGCATTGGAAATTTGCGTACTCGGACTGCGGGAATTGAGGTTTTATTTTCATTTTTTCGTATGACGATTTCAAAAATTCAAATTCTGGGTCGAAATCTTACCCAAAATGTTAAATCTTTTAACCCAGAAACCCTAATTCCAAATGATTTGCCAAAATGAGAGAAATAAGAAGACGATTGGATTAACTGGATTGGATTAACTGGTTTTTATAGAGAAAAGATGTTTTTGTTGTGTCCGATTTGGATTGAGTTTCGTAAATTTTCATTAGAATTTCATTAGAATCCTTTTGATTTGACGTTTTTAACTAAACTTTTGTCATTTTTCGTGCTTTTTACAGCATTTTGACTAACTTTAGAATAAAAAAAGTAAAATAGAACATTTCAAGCGCTTTCCCACCCCCAAATACGCTAAAATCTTAAAAAATTCGGTATAAGCGCTCTTTAAAGGGTCTAGAAGTGTTCATTATTGCTATTCTACTTTCTTCTTACGCAGAACCTTTTATAAATTCATAAAAACTCACAAGAAACACTCAAGATAACAGTAAAAACACGCTGTTGTAGCGCTTGGGATTGTTTCAATCAAAATCGGACACAGCATTTAGATTTTTAATAACTTTATCGGTGGTTTGAAAGACACGGCTCCGACGACCAACAGAGTGGAAAAACCGGAAAAAAAAAACAAAAACTCTAAAACTGTAACAATTTTAAAAGAAAGAGGAAAGGAAAGGTGGGAACAATAAAAAGAGGACGGAAATTTTAACAATAAACAGAATTTTATAAGAGAATAGAGAAAGTAGAACATCTAGAAAAAGTAGAACATCTAGAGAAAGTAGAACATCTAGAGAAAGTAGAAGATCTAGAGAAAGTAAAACATCGAGAGAAAGTAGAACATCTAGAGAAAGTAGAACATCTAGAGAAAGTAGAACATCTAGAGAAAGTAGAACATCTAGAGAAACTAGAACAAAGTAGAACATCTCAAAAAACACCGCCGGACAATGATTCTTTAAAAGAATGAATTTTGAAGAGATCGAGCCTCATCGAACTTCGTTTTATAGGGGAATTGGGAGACGTCGCATCGTCTCGAGTACGATAGCTTAGATGCATTTTAGAATCTAGAGTTGGAAAGTTGCCAATCCGTACTTAAACTGCGGGAATTATGGTTTTACTGTTAATCAGGTATTAAGTCTTACAAATAAATGGTTTAAAGCGAGATAAATTACCCTAAAAACGACAAATTACCATAAAAACAACAAATTACCGTAGAACGACCCCTATAGAAGAGTCGCGTAGTCCAAGTTTACCGCATTTGAGAATCTAGAGTTGGAAAGTTCCCAATCCGTCCTCGGACTTCGGGAATTGCGCTTTTACTCTAAACCAAAAACAAGATAAGACAAAAACAAGATTTCCATTTTGAAAGCTAAAATTTGCCGGAATTCCATTTGGGTTTTCGTTTTTTTTTTTTGCTTCACCCGTCAAAATGGGGTAGAAGGGGAAATTGAGGCGGAAAGATGAGTGAGCCGGGCATCCGGGGATCCCATCGGGGAAATAATTCATCCTTTACGACCAAAAATGAATGTGCAAAGGGTAATGCCAAAGCCAAAGGGTAATGCCATTGTGACCCATAAAAATATTAGCTTCTTTATTAAAAAGTAAGAGCAAGTCTTCCAAAGTTTTAGTTGGCCAGAAAAGTGCACATTTACATTTTAGCAAAAAATGCGAAACGAATTCAATTCCTTATCTGAATTACCTGGATCGAACTGACAAGGGAATGTTCTCAGCGCAAAGTTCGGAATCGACTGGAAACAGTGCATAACTTAGAATCGACAATGGCGGAGAAAGCGGCGCAAAAATTAGCTGCTAACAGTCACGGAAACACGAGGAATCTAACATGCAAAATCGAGATTCAAAACTGATTCCTTTATAAGGCTTCTCTCGCTGGGGATCAGAGATGAGCCGTGGCCTAGTGGATCTCTGAAATTTAAAGAGATAGGGAACCAAATTTAAAGAGATAGGGAACCAAATTTAAGATAGGGAATAGGATAGATAGGGATGAGATAGGGAACCAAATAGGGAACTTGATCTCTGAAACGGTGATCCTATTTTTGCCCTCGGGTTCAATTGCGCCCACATCAAGTTTTTTTTGTTTTTATGAATGAAAATTATCTTTCTGCTACCGTTGATGCCTTTCCGCGACGGCCACCATCAAGCCCCGAGCTAAATCCCTTGGATTATTCAGTTTGGGCAGTGTTAGAAGCGAAGGCATGCTCGAAAGTCCATTCAACGATCGATTCTTTGAAACAATCTCTCCAAAAGGCTTGGGACGAGCTTGACGTCGCCTATCTTTCTGGTACTCCGGGGTACTCCGGGGGTACTCTTTTTTAAAGGGGTACTCCGGCCTAAAAGTTGACTTTCAAGAATCGCGGTCATTTATATATTATTTGAGTCTCCTCTGCAACTATTTACTATATAAAAGCAAGATTTTCAATAGAGAAATGAAAAAAACGCAATTTTTGCTTACTGCCCCATGCTAAAACGTGAATATTTAGGTAAAAAGTATATAAAATTTCCGATCAATTGTCTTTTAGCACTTGCACTTCTTTTCTTTTGCATGTATTTTCTTAAATTTAACAGTAATTCTAAATATCTTTTGTCTTTCCGCAACGTCTTCAAGCATGCATCACAGCAAATGGAAAAGAAAAGAAATTAATCTTTTTGAAAAGAAATGAATTATTTAATTTTATGGATTTGAAAGACTAACTTTTTACTTAAATACCTTCATCGTCATCTTCCCTTCACCACCAAAAAAGCTATTTAGTTCCCCATTGAGCTTAGGGTTAGGGAGCCGTCTGTCATGACGTGGGTTAAGTTAAGATATAGCCTAGTATTGTGTGTGTCGTTGTATTGTGATTGATATATTTCGTGTATGCGATAAATTCACCACTGGTAGCCCCAGTCGGTATTTTTTAAATACCCATTTAAAACTCCGGCCTAAAAGTTGACTTTCAAGAATCGCAGTCATTTATATATTATTCAATGCGTTTTAGTCTTCTCTACAACTATTTCCTATACGAAAAGCAAAGTTTCCAATCGAGAAATGAAGGAAAACGCAATTTTTGCTTTCTGACTTACCCTAAAACGTGGATATTTTGGCAAAAAGTATATAAAGGTCCCGTCCAATTGCATTCTAGCACTTGCTTTCTTATCTTTTCCATCTATTTTCTCAAATTTAACAGCAATCCTAAATATTTTTTTGTTTTTTTTAATAGAAAACATTACATTCTGAAAGAATGATTAAAAAAAATTGAAAATCAGACTTAAGAAGACGTGAAAAATAGGTGCCCAATTGAACACTGCTTTCCTTACGCCGGAGTACCCCTTTAAACCTTTTGGCTATTTAATAGTCAAAGTTTCAAAACTTTTCATACCACGAGTGCAAAGCTGTGACGATTGCTGTATTTCATATTATATTTCAGGCTATATTATTGATATACAAAACAATCAAATGATTCAGTAAAACCAGTAAAGCCAGTAAAACAGTAAAACAGGTCAGTATTAGCTATTTAAACACCGATTTTACAAGATTTATCATTCCTACATTTGGCATTTACAAGAAAAACTGTTATTTTATAGACTAAAGACTTGATAGACTAAAGAATTAAATGATTCAGTGAAGGATTTTTGTGGGCGTTTGAAGGCATCCTGTATGGGTATCGGATATCTTTATTTTCGGAAAAGATCAAAATCAATTTCAGTGGTGATGATGAAGATCCATGTCGAAAATTCTGGTGGCCAGCGATGCTTTATGTGCAAAATTTGGTTCACTACACAAAAGATCAGGTAAAAGAACGTTTTTCGAAGTTTTTCTGTGCTTAACGTCTCACCTTTGTCACCAAATCTCTAACCTCAATTCGTCAAACAGTTTAAACAGCTCTGAATTTGATGAAAGTCTCTTCATAAGACAATAAATTTCAGTGTTATGGTATTTCTTGGTATCTGGCTGCCGACATGCAAATGTATGTCTTCTCACCAATTCTGCTCATCGCTTTGGGAATGAATGTGGTAAGAAATGGTTACGATTTGGTTATCAATTTTATTTGTTTGGCGATTTGGTTGGCGCTTAAATCCTAATTTTTTGTCTCTACTTTTTCTAACTCTCTGAGCAATTAGAGACAACCGCTGATATAAGAGTTTTTTTAAAATCATTCTTCTACTATTGATCACTAAAAATAGCGAATGATTTTGTGTTATTTACTTCCTTAAATTTTTATACATTCTCATAGAAAGAGATGAAGAGTTTGAAGATTTCGGATTGGCCTCGCATCGACCTTGAAAATGTTCCAAGTCTTCGAAAAGGCTCAAATTCATCAATATAGTCTTTTTGAAAACGTTTTTATACATTTCAGACTATATTATTGATATACAAAGCAATTAAATGATTCAGTAAAACCAGTAAAACTAACTAGAACATTAAAACTTCTCTAACTCTCTGAGCAATTAGAGACAACCGCTGATATGGGAGATTTTTTAAATCTCTCTTCTACTATTGGTCACTAGAAATAGCAAATGAGCAAGCAATAGCAAGCAAGTAAAGAATAAAAAACCAGTAAAGCGAGTAAAACCAGTAAAACAGATCAGTATTAGCTATTTAAACATCGATTTTACAAGATTTATCACTCCTACATTTGGCATTTACAAGAAAAACTGTTATTTTGATCAATCTTCTTCTCGTTTCAGCCAAATTGAGGTCAAAATTCATTGAGAAACACTTAGAAAAACTGTGGTTTATGGTTTGTTTGTGTTGTGGTGGATTGTTTGCTTTTCTCTAAATCTTTCCATTCCATTCAACCCTTCATCTCTTCATTTCTATGTTTTCTGCCCAACAAAGCTAGTATCTAGGAAATGTGAAAAAATCTCAAAGTTTTTGCACTTTTTGCACTTTTTGCTGCTTTTGCAGATAAGAATCTTAAGAAATTGGAAGATTTTCAAAACTTCACTCTATTTGACTTAGAAATATTGGGTTGTCCAGTTATGAATGCGCGTTTTTTACTATTTTGTAAATTTCTCAAGATACTGATATCAAGAAAAAGATATATATGAGTATTATTCGAAAGCTGAAGATCTCCTCTACATTTTGATATAAAAAGCTTTTGAATTTGTTCAGCTTTTGGGCAAATTGACTGCACAGAAGAAGAGGTGGCAAAAAAATGGAAGGGTGTCTTTGGATCAAGTTTTGGCTCCGCTCAAATTGAGTTAACCGTTTGATGTTTGGCTAATAGATATATCAATACAACCTTTTTTAAATATAACAATTTCAGAGCATCTTTACTTTTCTTTTCTTTTCTGGGCGGTTATTTTACACCATAAAACTTGAGGAATAGCTAAGCTGAAATGAGTTTTTTTTTCGGAAACGACCTCTCCCTTTGTGCAGTCAATTTCCCAAAAAGTTGAATGAATTCAAAAACTTTTTTATTCCAAGATGTAGAGGAGATCTTCAGCTTTCGGATGATATATAACACCCATATACATCTGTTCGATATAATGAGAAATTTACAAAATAGTACAAACGCGCATTCATAACTGTACAACCCAATAGTTAGAATTTATAAGCTTTTTATTTCATTTTGTTTCTTTACAATTTATTAAAATACAATTTATACGATACAATACAATTTAATTAGTGAAAATGTATTCCTTAACCGGCTCTCATCTTCACGATTTCCTTTATTTGATGCCTGTTTGTGCTGGACTCTATTTGTTAAGGTGAGATCAAAAAATTGTTAACTTACGGATATTCTATTCTATTCGTCCGCACGGATATTCTATCTAGAGGTACTGAGGTCACGTAGCACAAATCTGATTGCAGATTCGGATTCCTCGCCCCCGAAAGACCCCGAGTATAAATTTTCAGCTTTCTAGCCCAATTCGTTGTAACTTACTTTCTAGCACTTAGTTTACGCTAACGTGTTTTGTATTGTCGCGTAGGCGTGACAGACAGACGAACGGACTATTTTTTTCTTTATAGTAGATTTAGTTTCTCAGCTATGATTAGTAAAATTGGTTATCGATCTATCGATACGGGTTTTATCGATACTTATCGATAATTGATATATTAATAAGCATATCGATAAGCTTTTATCGAGATTCAACTATTATCATTCAACCATGCACAACCAACTTTATATTTCTCGTGAAATAGGTCAAGGGTTCGATTCCGGGTGCGACTAATAATAGTTTTCTATGGATGGGCTTATCTATCGAGTTTCGATATCGATAGGTATCGGTTATCGATAAGTATTGCTTATCGATAAGTATCGACAAGTACCGATTATCGGTAAGTATTGATTATCGATCAGATATCGATACCCAAGTCTAATGATTTGTCAAATTATAAGCAGAATCATAAGAATCTAGTATTGATGTCTTAATCCAAAAATTCTATTGATTGTATATCATTTATCTTTCCAGAAAATGGAATCGAGGTGGTCAATTCACAGAGAATGTATCAGCTATTGGAAAAGTTGCTGTGGTGACTGGGGGAAACTCAGGAGTGGGGAAAGCTTTGTGTGAGCTCTTGAATAAAAGGTTTGCTTTTGCTTGTTAGCTTGCTTGCTTTTAAAAACATTATTATACTGTTATATCACATAAAAAGGTTAAAAAGGTTATCAGTTCTGAAAAATTAATTTCTTCCAGAGGAGCCAAGGTCTACATGTTGTGCAGAGACGAGAAACGAGCGGCTCAAGCTAAAGCGAAACTTGTCGAGGTGAATCTAGCTCATAAAATCTTATAAAAACTAAGCCAGCTTATAGAAATATACATTTAAACAAAGCGATTTCCAGAATGGTTGTGATCCTCAGCGTCTCATCATTCGAAAAGGCAACCTCGACGATTTTTCATCAATTCAAGCAGTTGCTAAAACTTTGCTCGCTGGTTTGTTACCTTAAAGATATTGTAAAGTCAAAGATTATTTAAATAAATCAACTGAATATCTTGATTTTTTTAAAACATTACTTTACTTTATCTTCATACGGAGCTATTGAATGATATTCAGTTGATTACAACGGAATACTTTTTTGCTTTTCAAGGCATACTGTACGGATATCAAATTCCGTAATTCTTCTATTAAAACGACTTGTCCTTTTATTTTTCAATACCTCAACAACTAAAAGAGCTAAAGAGTTCTAAAAGAGCATGTCGTTCAATTAGAGCATGTCGCTCTATTCTTTCAAGCTCACTTTCTTGCTGTCTTCAACCAGTGATCGTTGATCTTGTCACTCCAATATCGTTTTGAGCGTTTTGAGTTGTTGTTGTTGTTGTTTAATGCTTCCTTTCCGTACTTGATGATTTGCAATTTGGTTGAAGCATCAAAAGCTTGACGCCTTCTTCCCTTGGATATAGAAAGAGCATGCTAACTGCGGTAGACAACGATATTTTGTGGGCTGCAATCGAATCAGATCCATGTCAAATGACGCGTGAACTTGCTCAACAGTTTCTATGTTCAAATTCTACTATTGATGAGCATCACCATGCCATTGGAAAGATGATCAGATGCGGGAAATGGCTTCCTCACGAGTTAAGCAGTGCAAACAAGGCTTCACGGGTCGCTATTGCCGGAATTCTCATCCGCAATTCTCATCTCTCTCTTAAAGATCATGGCTTTTTGATTCTCTCGTTACTGGAGATGAGAAATGGATCTATTTCGATAATACTATTCGAAAACGGCAATGGCTAGGACCAGGAGAACGGCCGAATCCGACTGTGAAACCGGACATTCATGGGAAAAAGGTCATACTCGCAGTATGGTGGAATAACAAGGGCCTTGTGTATTTCGAGCTTCTACAACCTATGTTCATGTTTCTTTCTTCAAATTCTACTATTGATGAGCATCTCCGCGCCTTTGGGAAGAGGATCAGATGCAGGAAATGGCTTCCTCACGAGTTAAGCAGTGCAAACGCTCGTTTATATCCGAACAACCTAATAAAACATGTCATTCTAATAGAAGAATCGAAGAAGAATCAGTATCGTTTCTTTTAACATCTTTAAAAATGTCCTAATAGCAAATTTAAATAGGCATGCTCAGGATCTTTAAAAAAAATTTGCTTTCAATTCCAGAAGAATCCCGAATCGATATCTTAATCAACAATGCTGGTGTTCTTGGCATTCCGTCATTCGAGAAAACGGTTGATGGATTTGAGAGAACATGGCAAAGCAATCATTTGGGTAGAAAATTAACAAATAAAATTGTAAAGTCTTGTCTTTTTCATTACCAACCCCATTCCAGGTCACTTCCTATTGACCGAGCTGCTTCTCAAATCGATCAAGAGATCATCAGATCCACGAATCGTCAATGTGAGCAGTGAGATTCACTCAAAGGGTGACACAATCGATCTCGATTTTGGTAGAAAAAAGAATTATTCAATATTGAAATGCTATTTAAATACTTTTCAGTGAACGATGCCAAGAATTATGCTCGGATGATGATCTATGCTCGATCGAAATTGGCTAATGTGAGTAGTTAGCTCTTTTCAGTCTTTTCTTTCAGTTTTTTTGAGTCAGTAACGTGACATTTGCTAACAATCTCTGTCTGCTAGGTGTTAGTTGGAAAGCTTTATCTAGTATCTACTAACTACGGTATTACAGTACTTGTAAGTCTGCTACAGTACTCCCTAAAGGCGGATCCGAGATCTTCATTGCTAATTCTACTGTAGAAGTACCATAATGCCGCTGGATCTCGATTCAAAAAGGCGATCTTGATTCGGTACCATCCCTTGTTAGACCCAACAGATACTATGGCGTTACAGACAAACACCGCATAAGCTTAGCTTACTATTAGACTAATTCAGGTGTATAATACTGTCATATTCTAGCCAATTTTTATTTTCAAGTACTTACTTATGCCAATTTGCCAAATAAACGAGTTCAGCTCTTTTATAGATCCCAAGGTCCACCAACTACTCGTAGTAATGACCAGTAAGGGATCAGTGGATGACAATTCTCTTTGAGAGATCCAGTGCTTCCTTTTCTCCAAACCCTCGACGCTAAAAATCTAAAAATCTCTTTAAGTAAGATGAGTTAAGTCTATAGAACTCTGGTTGAGCTCTGAACTCTGCTCTAGGACTAAAAAGATTCATATTTCTTCCAGGTAATGTATTCTCGTGAGCTATCCCATCGCCATCCCCGTATTCTCTCCTCGTCTTGCCACCCCGGAAATATCAACACGAATATTCTTGCCACGAGTGGACTGATCATTCTCAAGGTTTTTCTCAAGGTTCTCAACTTTTTCTTATCGAATGTTTTTAGCAAATCTTCGCCCCAATCTTCTGGTTCTGCTTCAAGACGGAAATGGACGGGGCACAGACGGCCCTTTATCTGGCGTTGAGTCAACGATTGCCTGGAAATGGACTGTATTATAGGTGCGAATGGAATTTATCATAAACTAGTCAGTCAATAATACACGCCAAGAATGTTAAAAGCCTGTAAAAGCCTGTAAGCCAAGTTTTTTTAAATCTATTAAATGGAGTACTAAGTTTTGCGCCCTGATTTTAAAACTTCCTTTCCGCGATGAATAATTAACCGATACAGTGATGGTTTTCGATCAGAGATCTAGAGAGATCTAGAGAGAGACCTAGAGAGATCTAGAGAGCTCTAGAGAGATCTAGAGAGATCTAGAGAGATCTAGAGAGACCTAGAGAGATCTAGAGAGATCTAGAGAGATCTAGAGAGATCTAGAGAGAGACCTAGAGAGATCTAGAGAGATCTAGAGAGATCTAGAGAGATCTAGAGAGATCTAGAGAGATCTAGAGAGATCTAGAGAGAGACCTAGAGAGATCTAGAGAGATCTAGAGAGATCTAGAGAGCTCTAGAGAGATCTAGAGAGCTCTATAGAGACATCAATGATACAATTTGAGCACTTTCTCTCACAGAAACCAATTGTGGTGTCAAAAGAAAAAAAAGAGGTTTTTGGAGAACTAACTTATCATAATTTGAGCCTGAGTTCAAAAATGCCTTGTAAAACTTTAAACTCATATAACTTTTAATAGGGTAGCGCATAGTAAAAACTGAAACCATATTTGGAATGAGCGTGAAATTATGCGTCGAATGGTCTAGCCATTTGGTCACATTGCCCATTTGAGCTTCCCTTGAGCACTTGAGCTTCCCACTTGAGACTCGATCACATACCAAACCTCTCATTACTCAATTTCAGCGATTGTGTCGTGGTTGAAGAGGCAGCAATTGCGCGTGATCGAAAAGAATGCGAGAAGTTGTACGAGCAAAGCTTGAATGCTGTTAAAGAATATTTATAATATTTTTATTTCTTTGTCCTTAATTTCTTTGTTTTGCATTTTGACTTTTTCTCGAAAAATCTCAAAAATAGCTTTATGAACTACAATTTCTCTATAACGGAATAGAAGGAACCAAAAAGATCTTTCCGTTATATAGAACTTTCCGTTCTATAGGGTGGTGCCGTTTTATATAGCTTAGCGTCGGCCGGGACGAAAATTTCATTCCTTTATATAGAGTTTTCCGCTATATTGAGTTCGGTTATAGGGAGAGTCGACTGTATTATGAAAATTTAAGTTTTCCTGGTTTGTTTAATTACCCAAATACTCAGGGCAATATTCTAAATGCCTAAAGTTTTTTTTTTGAGATTTTTCGATTTAGAAACATTAACAACAAAATTGTTGCAATTTATTTGTACCAAAAATGAGAAGTACATAAAGGAGTACATAAAGGAGTACATAAAGGAGTACATAAAGGAGTACATAAAGGAGTACATAAAGGAGTACATAAAGGAGTACATAAAGGAGTACATAAAGGAGTACATAAAGGAGTACATAAAGGAGTACATAAAGGAGTACATAAAGGAGTACATAAAGGAGTACATAAAGGAGTACATAAAGGAATAAAGTACATAAAGGAGTACATAAAGGAGTACATAAAGGAGTACATAAAGGAGTACATAAAGGAGTACATAAAGGAGTACATAAAGGAGTACATAAAGGAGTACATAAAGGAGTACATAAAGGAGTACATAAAGGAGTACATAAAGGAGTACATAAAGGAGTACATAAAGCACACAAAAAGAATAATAAAAAATGCAGTAAAATCTGGATAAATGCATATTGATGGATTTGCTGAAGAGATGAGGCATGAGGTGAGAAGGGATTTCGTTGAACTGGACAAGGAGAACCTTTTTGATTTGCTTCTGATGAATTTGCATTTGCTGAAGAGGTTGAATCGATGTGCTACTAACCACCATTTATCGAGAATTTCTCCAAATTCCCGAAAATTTGCTTTCATTTAGTTTGCATTATTTATTTGCAATATTTTATGCATATTTAAGTTAGTATAATATTTATTTTGATTTACACTCCTTTGACATCTTACCTAATTTGAATGAAGGCAAGAATAGATAAAATACCATTGAAACTAAACGGATAAAGTTTAGTCCTTTACTTGCCTTGACTTTCCTTTACTTTCCTTTGCCTTTCCTTTACTTTCCTTTACTTTACTTTACTTTCCTTTACTTTCCTTTACTTTCCTTTACTTTCCTTTACTTTCCTTTACTTTAATTTACTTTCCTTTACTTTCCTTTACTTTCCTTTGCCTTCCTTTGCCTTCCTTTACTTTCCTTTACTTTACTTTACTTTCCTTTACTTTCCTTTGCCTTTCCTTTACTTTCCTTTACTTTCCTTTGCCTTTCCTTACTTTCCTTTACTTTCCTTTACTTTCCTTTACTTTCCTTTACTTTCCTTTACTTTCCTTTGCCTTCCTTTGCCTTCCTTTACTTTCCTTTACTTTCCTTTACTTTCCTTTACTTTCCTTTGCCTTTCCTTACTTTCCTTTACTTTCCTTTACTTTCCTTTACTTTCCTTTACTTTCTCTGTAGTTTCAGTTCTATTTAAATCTTCATTAGACTACTCTAACTTCATTTTTTCCTCTAATTCTCTCCTCTAATACCTCTAATATAATTTTGAGGTATATTAGCGGTAGATATTTAGGCTTTTGAGATGTAAAACAAGTTTTTCTTTAGTGTGCATGCTTTTCGCTAGAGCTTTTTATGATCTTTAAAAATGGGCAAATTGATTCAATGCCAGCTTATCAATTCATTAAATATGGGTGACGAAAAAACGTAGAACAAAGGTGAAGAGGATTCCAGAGGTGATTCCTGAATGTCTGACTTTTTAAAAGAAGTACAAAAAGATGAGACAAGCCTCCAATTAAACAAAGAGCCGAGATCATTCCAGCCGTTTTCGACAATGCTTCAGGGACAACTCTGGAAACATGATAAGATGATATGGAATAAATGAAGAGAGAGAGATTTATTGAAGTTTATGAATTTAAGGCCTTTCCACTACAGATAATATTTAACCCCTAAAAATTTATAGATATTTAGCTCTCTCGATGTCTATTGTAATTGTAATTGTAAAATTTAACTCAAAAAATTTTCTTTTGAGTTAAAACCAGCTCTGTTTTAACTATAAAACCTAAAAAAATCGTTTGTTCAATGCTTTGAATCTAACTTTTTCCAGCCTTTTTATTTATTTCTTAAAACTTTTTCTATTCTTTTAGATAAGAATCTTAGATAATTAGATAAAAAGACTTTTTTTCCTGTTTTTTCCTGATTAAACTGAAAATGACATAGGAAAATCATCCTTTTGTTCACTATCCTAGAGTCAGACTCACTTTTGAATAAACTAGACGATGCTCAGCTATAAACAACTCACTTTGGTGCATACATCATAGCCAAAGAAGAGAAATATCCGCTTGTGAAAGCCATCAAGGAGTTTCCGACAGCAAATATCCATTCACTGTGAATGAGGATAGGCCACTTTCTAAATAAACGAACAACTAAGAAGTAGAACTAAAAGATAAAAGGATCTAAAGCTATTTCTCAAATTAACTAGTGAGAGTTGTAAGTAAGTGCTAGTAAGTGCTAGTAAGTACCAGTAAGTAGTGCTTTTGTAAGTGCTAGTAAGTAGGAGTAGCTTAGTAAGCTAACAAGGGAATTATAACAGCTCAAAGTGCAGAATCGTTTCGTGACCGAGTGCATCTCATAGAAATCGGTTTTTTTTTTATCTTTGGCTTTGCCCACAAAAGTTTCTGGGTTGCCTTTGCCATTTGCCTTTAAAGCCATTTGCCTTTAAAGCCATTTGCCTTTGCCATTTGCCTTTAAAGCCATTTGCCTTTAAAGTTAGGATAGTCGTGCTTACTATTTGCCTTACTATTGGCGTGCAGAAAAGTAGCTCTTTTCTGTGAAATCTTATTTGATGCTTTCATTTTGAATATCTCTGATTATCTTGTCCTTCCTCTAAAGATCCTTTGTGTGATAAAAGGGGACGGAGCCCATTTTGTATTGCTTTTCTTTGACTTTGAAACACTGAACCAACGATTCTATCTTATTGTATTTTCTCGCTAGATTAGTGATTGTGCTATATAAATATCCAAATAATAATTGCCCCATCGGTACCCTCTCACGCACTGCACAATTGAGTACCAGCAAGGGAATGATACCAGCTCAAAGTTCAGAATCGTTTCGTGACCGAGTGCATCTTATAGAATCGGCTATGCTGATTCTGAATCTGTAAAAATTAGTGGCAAACTCGCACGCAATTGCTAGGAATTTGGTAGCGAAATTCCCTTAAATTTCGGCCTCTTCATGGGGCCACCACAAAGAAACTTTTCAACGGCCTTGGTTCAACGGCGCCGACCTTTGCAAGAACCTATCTTTGTGATCGGTGGTCTAGCGGATAGTGTGCTAGCCTGCGGAACTTATAAAGTTTTTGGCCTGGTTTTGAATCCTCCGCTGTCCAATTCTTTTGTTTTTTTTTGGAAAATTCTTTTTCTGATGCTGTTGCATTAAGTTTTTATTTTTTATGCATTCCTTTACAACTTCTAACGGTGTTCATAAAGCTTTCAATACTCAAAATCGTTCATCGTTTCAACTTTCAACTCATGAACTTCAAAATGCAAAGATAGGTTCTTGGAAAGGTGCAAAGAACAATGTAACTTGAACTGTAACAATGAACAATGTACTTGCGTTTTTTTTACACAAACAAACTACTTTGTTTTACAAAGAACAATGCTTTTGTTACAAGAGTTAATAAAATCATGAACTAATGATTCATCTATGCCAGATTGCTTGCGATTGCGTGGGTGTTTGCAGCTAATTTTTACAGCTTCAGAATCAGCATAGCCGATTCTATGAGATGCACTCAGTCACGAAGCGATTCTGAACTTTGAGCTGGTGTCATTTTCTTGTAGTCATTTCCTTGTAAAAAACTAAAATGGTAATCTAACCTGTCAGCCGGCAAATATGGACAAAAGAGGAAAAACGGAATGAAAAGGGCTCTCGATGTGGTGCCTATCCAGAGAAATCTCGGCGTCGGCTAGAGTCTAATGTGTTTAGATTTCAGGGGAAAATCAAACAAGAAACCCATTGCCAAAAGCCGGCTACCAACGAGCCAGTGGTGGCAAAAGTGGCAAAATTGAGGAAAACGATCAGCCCGTCGTAGATGTTCTCTAAATGGGAAAGACAATACAGCTATGGGTATTAGTGGTTCGAGAGATTTACTCAAATTACGGAAAGTTTGTTAGCATTTTTGCCAATTGCTTCTAAAAAATTGCTTCTAAGCTTCTAAAAATTTGGTTTAACAAATCAATTTGACGTTACTAAAATGAAATTTTATCGTTTTCATGTTTTCTCCATTCTAAATTACCATTAATTACGTATATATTGATTTCTGTAAGGTTCAAATGATGAAGTTCAATCATGGGAACAGGCAAATAGAATTAACTATTAAATAACTAAGTAAATAAATCTAAAGATTACTAAAGAGTACTTTGAAGTTGCTTTGAAGTTGCAAAACTTTGCTTTGCACCCACTAGCCTCACATCTATCCAGCTATATTGCAATTTAAATCCCTTGTAGTCTACCCGGAATGACAGATGGCCATCTACCATCATTGTCTTTGATTTATATATTGGTTTCTGTAAGGTTCAAATGATGAAGTTCAATCATGGGAACAGGCAAATTGGAATTAACTATTAAATAACTACCGTAAATACTGTAATAGTACCCCAGCCCCATAATGACGAGTGCGGAGTGTCTCGTAGTCTAGCTTTGAACGAGTTTTTCTCGACACTGGTTTATGCTACAATGCGGGCTTAGGTATCAAAAAATAGCTGAAATTCAGGGCTATTTTTTGATGCCTAAGCGTGCATTGTAGCATAAATCAGTACTAAATTACCTACTGTATATACTGTAATAGTCCCCACAGCCATAATGACGAGTGCGGAGTGTCTCGTAGTCTAGCTTTGAACGAGTTTTTCTCGACACTGGTTTATGCTACAATGCGGGCTTAGGTATCAAAAAATAGCTGAAATTCAGGGCTATTTTTTGATACCAAAGACGCATTTTTTGAAAGTACGGGCGCTTTGAAAAAAATGAAATACTAAAAAATTTTTGCGACTACGCGACTGTACGAGGAGGGCGTGGGGTACTATTACAGTATTTACGGTGAGTAAATAAATCTAAAGACTACTAGTTTGAAGTTTCTTTGCACCCACTAGCGTCACATCTATCCAGCTATATTGCAATTTAAATCCCTTGTAGTCTACCCGGAATGACAGATGGCCATCTCCCATCATCGTCTTTGACTGGAGTTGAATCGGCGAGCACAGCTGGATATAGGGAAAGAGTGATGAAGAAGACGAGGAAAACGTTGATAAATTGAGGCCAACCCTAAAAAACAAAATTCTTTCAAAATTCAACAAATTTCACATGTTGAATGGTGTGTCGAATTTGAGTCCACGATGGTTTTGTCGAATTGCCTGCCTCACGAGCCTCAATTCCTTTTGCCTCGAAATAGAGGAAATACGGCTGAAAGATTTGAGCTTACTAGTATACATAGTAGTCAGCAAAATAGAAAAAATCATAATAGGAAAGACAGAAAGCAAAGTCTCTCCATCCTCCATGAATCTGTTAGATGTACTGGTTATCTCTAACTAACTAAAGAATCTAAGACTCTAAAAGAATCTAAGACTCTAGAAGAATCTAAGGCTCTAAAACAATCTAAAACAGAAATTTTCTTCAAATTTCTTCAAATTCTTCAAATTCTTGCAAAACTCACAAGTCTTTTCAGTAAAAATATTGAGAAAAGGCATGTGAGTAGAACAGCGAGTGAAAGAGTAAAGTAGAGAATGGCCACACTTCGAATATCGTTTAGAACTAGAATAGAATTTGGGTACTTGTAAACTTTATACATCAAATGATGACAACTTTATCTTTCTTATCTATTAGGTTGGTGAATTGAAAACTGCAGGACTTTGAACTAAAATTTATTCAACATAAAGCCATCAATTCATTCGAAATAATTTCCATTATTATTGACGACTTCTGCCCATTTTACAGGCAATTTGCGGATTCCTCTTTCGTAGTAGGATTTTGGTTTGTGTGTGAGACAAGTGTGAGACTCAAAAATGGAGGACTGGAGAGGAAGACTGGAGGTCCCAGTTTGAGCACTTTCTTCAAAAGAAACCCATTTTGGTGCCAATAGAAAAGTTATAGAGAATCAAAAATTAGGCTTATCGCCAAATTTCCAAAAAGAGACACTTAATAGTTTCGTTTAAAATGCAAGTTTTGTTGCAAGTTTTGTGAAGATTCGTAAATTTGGCGTTTCTTGAAAACCAGTTTTTGAATCGTTCTGAAAATTTGGATATAAGCTTGATTTTTGATTCTCTACAACTTTTCCATTGACACCAAAATGGGTTTCTTTTGAAGAAAGTGCTCAAACTGTCACATATGACAATAGCCCGCAGTTTTCAATTCACCAACCCAATAATAGTTTATGCAGGGTGGCGCGCAATTACGGAAATCAATATATTTCTGGTTTAATAACCACTTTTTGTTGTTAACGCTTAGGCCTAAATCTTAGATTACAAGTTTATTCTTTATATCCCAAAAAACAAGAAAAGTTAGTTCTTTTCAAAAGGATCTCCTTTCGCTGCAACGTACGGACTATTTTTTTCTTTATAGTAGATTTAGTTTCTCAGCTATGATTAGTAAAATTGGTTATCGATCTATCGATACGGGTTTTATCGATACTTATCGATAATTGATATATTAATAAGCATATCGATAAGCTTTTATCGAGATTCAACTATTATCATTCAACCATGCACAACCAACTTTATATCTCTCGTGAAATAGGTCAAGGGTTCGATTCCGGGTGCGACTAATAATAGTTTTCTATGGATGGGCTTATCTACCGAGTTTCGATATCGATAGGTATCGGTTATCGATAAGTATTAATCATCGATGAGTACCGACAAGTACCGATTATTGGTAAGGATTGATTATCGATAAGTACCGACCAGTACCGATTGTCGATAAGTATTGATCATCGATAAGTACCGACAAGTACCGATTAGTTGCTTTTTATTGGTATTATTCGGTTTTATTTGTGTTCCTTTTTTACGATCCTTTTCGTGTTTATGTGTATGAATTCATGTTTATTAGTGTTAAAACTTACGCACTTTATTTCATGTCCTGAATAAAGTACCTATCATTATATTATTTTTCAAAAATAAAGACATTATCTTTTTTGTAAACTAGCTAAAAAATGCTACAAAGGGTTCTTGAAACTTATTCTGTAATGTTTAATAATTTGGACTTATTGAGGTTGCACGAGAGCTAGGGGTCAATGCTTTTGTACATGACTGTATTATAAATCTATTTTACTATCATATCACTCACCAGTTGCACAGAGAATACTCAAAACAGCTGTGACCAGTCCACAAATGTTACTCCCGAGCATAATTTGGACTAATTGAGGTCCAAAGCTATGGGCCAATGCTATGGGCCAATGCTATGGACCAATACTTTTGTACATGACTGTATTATAAATCTATTTTACTATCATATCACTCACCAGTTGCACAGAGAATACTCAAAACAGCTGTGACCAGTCCACAAATGTTACTCCCGAGCACGAAGGCGTTGATATAATTTGGAGGGAAATCGGCAAAAAGACCAAAACAGGAATTCTTGAAAGAAAAAAAAAGGATTAGAGTGAAAATTAGAATAGAATGAAAACGCGTACAGTGTAGAAACCGTTGGCAATGTTCATGATGACCACGAGGCACATTGTGACCGCATAAAACCAAGTCATATCTGGGAAAAGATTCTCTTGATTTAATCAAATGTCTAACAAATAAGTTATAACAAGTAAACAAAAAAAATGACATAACAAACAGACACAAAAAATATATATAAATATCTCGTCTACCTTTCAACGCAGGTTCACAGAAAATAGCCATTGCAATGACGATTCCCACGCAAATACAATTGATTACAAGTGGGCCAATGATTCGCGCGAATAGAGACCAACTAGAGGCATTAACTAGGAAATAACTGAGAATTTTTGAGTTAAATGTTACCTGATAACAAGAATAACATTTAAAATGTTGAATGAAACGTTTGGGAGTTGAGAGGCGAGACTCAAAAAGCTCATGAATGAGCCCGCGTATTGGCTGGTCACGTCGTTTTGTGTGAACCAATAGTCGACATAGTACTGTAAGGGAAAAGAATTGTTTTTGAGATCGTTAATAAGAAAATCCCTTAGTTGATATGATATCCTTTTAGTTTTTAATTGATATGATATCCTATTAGTTTTTTGCTTGTATAAAAAAATTCAACATATTAGGTTGTTCGGATATAAACAATCGTTGCTAAAATTTTTGTTGTGAGAGAAGCTTTTAAAACATGTCTTTCTGTATTTAAAAGTACGTTATCTTGTGCCTATTTGGAATTTTTTAAACGGATAATTTCTTATTTTTAAGAGCTTTTTTCTTGCTTTAGATGATCGACTTCGAACATCAAGTTCGCGTCTGCCTACTTTACGACTTCAAACTGGGCAAAACAGCCCGGGAATCCCATCGAGATTTGGTCAAAGCATTTGGGAATGATGTATAGTCCGAAAGCCGATGTCGAGCCTGGTTCTAACGCTTTCGGAATGGTGATGAAAGGATGAGAAATCGAGGATGATGAACACTCTCGTCGACCTCAAGCGGTAGACAACGATATTTTGTGGGCTGCAATCGAATCAGATCCATGTCAAATGACGCGTGAACTTGCTCAACAGTTTCTATGTTCAAATTCTACTATTGATGAGCATCTTCACGCCATTGGAAAGACGATATGATGCGGGAAATGACTTCCTCACGAGTTAAGCAGTGCAAAAAAGACTTCACGGGTCGCTATTGCCGGAATTCTCATCCGCAACGTTAAAGATCATGGGTTTTTGATTCTCTCGTTACTGGAGATGAGAAATGGATCTATTTCGATAATACTATTCGAAAACGGCAATGGCTAGGACCAGGAGAACGGCCGAATCCGACCGTGAAACCGGACATTCATGGGAAAAAGGTCATGCTCGCAGTATGGTGGAATAACAAGGGCCTTGTGTATTTCGAGCTTCTACAACCTATGTTCATGTTTCTTTCTTCAAATTCTACTATTGATGAGCATCTCCGCGCCGTTGGAAAGAGGATCAGATGCAGGAAATGGCTTCCTCACGAGTTAAATAGATATAGTGAAATTTTGATCACATTTTTACAATATCTTCGTTTGCCAACCTGTGGAGCGATCATAATGAACATATTCCACGGTAATAGTCCGCCCATTCCATTTAGTAGACTAATCAGATAGACAATGGATAAAAAATCCTGAAAATCGAATGATTCAAGAGAAAATTTCATTCAGTAAACCTTTGGTGGCTCTTTTATCGACATTCCAAAAGAATAGTCAAGAATTTAAGGCTAAAATTCAGAATAGCGTCAACTATTGAATTCAGAATAATGATTCTCAAATAGTGATTCTCAAATAGTGATTCTGAAACAATGATTCTGAAATAATGATTTCCTTTTGAGAAAATGGATCGATCAGGTTCGGGATTAGCCAGAAAGGAAGCCAGACTGAGCTTTGCCCAAAAAAAGATAAGGGATTGAGATCAAGAATCAAAAAATCAAACTAAAAACAATTTTTGCCATTCTAAAAACTTTCTATATCTATTAAAAATCAAATTTATAGTGAAGAAATAGCCAAAAGCTTAAAATTTTCACAAACTTTAGGAAGCTTTACAATTTTATGGATTTGTGAATGAAAAGCTTGACAAATCCAATCACAAAACTCAATCAAATGAACCTCAAGGCTTTACAAAATCACAGAAAAAAGTTTATGGCAACTTTCAAGTGATCTTCTATGAAAAGATCTATTGATCTTTTTATAGAAGATCACATCACAAGGAAGATCAAATCACAAGGAAGATCAAATCACAAGGAGGATCACATCACAAGGAAGATCACATCACAAGGAAGATCACATCACAAGGAAGATCACATCACAAGGAAGATCACATCACAAGGAAGATCACATCACAAGGAAGATCACATCACAAGGAAGATCACATCACAAGGAAGATCACATCACAAGGAAGATCACATCACAAGGAAGATCACATCACAAGGAGGATCACGTCACTAGCTCAACAGAGTTTGACTAACCATGAATCGTTTCATTGCATGCTCCGTTCGGCCATTCGAAGTTCCATTGTTGAGACATTTTCTCGAGCATGTTCTCGAGATCCTTATCAAATTTCGGTCGTTTCTCATCCCCATCATCTTTTCCTTTATCATTCTTTCCGAACCGTATTAGTAGGGTTTTGAATAAGCTGTCGTCTGTAGGAAAATTGAAAGTATCTGCAAACGAATTAGATCTTATTGCCATGTCAAATCTGCCCTATATCTTTTTGTACCTGTGTTTCCTAACTGTAGTCTTACTGTAGTCTTACTGTACTTTTAATTGTCTTTCTTTTTTTGTGAAAGTATTTTAGCAATATGCTAGATGCGGTTATGATTATCTGATTCGCTTCTATTTGCGCCGTGAATAAAGCATATATATTAACAGAGATTTATGCTTTAATCTCTCAAAAATGTTCCCGACTTTTGGAGAAGATTCCTTTTTGATCACCATTTCTTTGATTGATCACCATTTCTATGTCTCCGGTAATCGAATCGCTCCAATTTGTGCTCTAGAATTCATTCAATTCATTCCATTCATTCCATTCATTATCTTTACATCTTCACCCAATCGTTTTTCAATTCCAAAGTCTTATGGTAGTCTTTCTGTTGCAGTGTTTCAAATCGAGTGATTAGTTGCTAATTTACGTGTTTTGTGGCTAATTCTAGTGATTTGTTGACGTTTTACATTGAAAGGCCAAGATAATGGAGTGTTTAGGCCGTTTGTTGCTAATTTAAGCTATGCTAATTCCAATTGTCCGGAGTTTTTGCCACAGATCCTTAGGAAGATTCAAGTGGAATCTTTTCGAATCCTGAATTGGTCTTCTTTCGGCTTATTTCCCAATGGTTATTGCTTAAAGAATGTTATCGAATCATAGAACTATAATTTAAAGTTCAAATCCAATTTAGTGTATTGTGAAAATGAGTAAATCTTTATTTATATAGAGCCGATTCAAAAATCTTCTACAGCAGACTCAAAAAAGCTTTTCAATTATGACCATGTTTCGTCTTTCGATGAAATTGGCGCAGTTTTAATCGGGGACACCGTTTCACCGTTGGAAAGCTGAAAATAAAGTAATTTACTTTAAATTGTACTAAATACACTTCAAATTAACTACAAAAACTGAAATTTTGAAGTTCCACGACAACTTTTGAAGTTCTTACCCCATTTTGATCTCGATTTCCCATTTTCTCGTCTCTTTCATTCTCATCTCTCTTTTTGAGAGGATCGACTGCCCGTCTTCGACCACCAATTAGAATTATTTCTATCTGAAAGTTTTCAATAACTCTTGAAAATTCAAATTTCCTGAAACTAACTTATTTTTTAAATCAATTGTTGATCTCAAAGTTGATCTCAAAGTTGATCTCAAAGCCGATCTCAAAGCCGATCTCAAAGCCGATCTCAAAGCCGATCTCAAAGCCGATCTCAAAGCCGATCTCAAAGCCGATCTCAAAGCCGATCTCAAAGCCGATCTCAAAGCCAATCTCAAAGCCGATCTCAAACCTTTCCCATGGCCACCTCGAAACAAGAACTCCACAAAATCGCTAAGAGATAAGTGATCACAACGGATGGGACGATGAAATTTGAGAACTAAACAAAAACTTTATTTATTAAGTTGGAAAGAAAGTTCTCAGCAAAGATTGTTCGGTGATTTCTCAAAAAAAAAAGCCATAAATTCTTCCCAGACTTTTCTTAAACTTGCCTATATTTCAAAAAGCTTTTGGCAAAGAAAAATCAGAGTGGGCTTCAGGTAAATTCTACAAAATTTACAGAATATTTTCCTTAGTGGTTCGAGAGATTTACTCAAATTACTGAAAGTTTGTTAGCATCTTTGCCAATTGGCTCCCCTAAGAATTGGGTTTAACAAATCAATTTGACGTTACTAAAATAAAGCTTTATTGTATTCATGTTTTCCCCATTCTCAATTACCATTAATTACGTATATATTGATTTCTGTAAGGTTCAAATGATGAAGTTCAATCATGGGAACAGGCAAATAGAATTAGCTATTAAATAACTAAGTAAATAAATCTAAAGACTACTAAAGAGTACTTTGAAGTTGCAAAACTTTGCTTTGCACCCACTAGCGTCACATCTATCCAGCTATATTGCAATTTAAATCCCTTGTAGTCTACCCGGAATGACAGATGGCCATCTACCATCATTGTCTTTGATTTATATATTGGTTTCTGTAAGGTTCAAATGATGAAGTTCAATCATGGGAACAGGCAAATAGAACTAGCTATTAGATTAAAAAGAAAGTTCTCGGAAAAAGTTTGACTGGAATTTCTTAAAAACGAATCCACCAATTCGAGACCATTTTGTTCGATTATTTACAAGTGAACTCCAAGAAATTACTCTTAAAAAATGAGTGCAGCTTTCCCGTAAAAGTTTAGAGATTTTGGAGAAATTATTTTCTTCCATTCAGCTCACTTTTTGTACCAGAAAAACGATTCCTGATGAGGTAAAGCGAACATAAATAAGCAATACGCTCTATAATCTCTATTTTTGGCCAACAAATTTCTTACAGAGTAAAAGAAGTCCGGTTATTTGAAGCGAACTTTTACCTAATATTTCAAACTCCGTTATCGAAGTGGTTTTTGTTTGTTTTTCCCCTTTATTGCCAAAAATCAGCCTGGTTTTATGGATATTTTCCTTAGTGGTTTTATTTTTGAACCTAAACACACAAATTTGGTATCAATCGACGCGGAATTTAATTCTCTACAAAATTTACATAATATTTTCCTCATACATTAAAGGATTTTTCGACTAGAAAGGTTTCCCAAAAAGATTTCATTTCAAAATCGGCTACAACATAGAATAACTTTTTTTTCTGCCTCCTTTTCTCGCTTACAATATCAGTGTAGCTTCCCCAAACGATTTCCGATGGATGAATGATAAGCAGATAAGTGACAACGATTAGGTGAATGAGATAGGCCGAATAGGTGAGACGACCAAGAGGGGTCCAGCCAGGCCACGACATGAATGAGTTGAGAAGTCCTGGAATAATGAGGTTACCTCTCAATAGGAATGTTTCAACCGGAATCTTGAAACCGTTTGCTAAAAGTGGACATTCTGTTCCTCTAAATCGTGACTCTTTCTTTTGGGGTAGGCTAATTTCCGCAACTTTTTTTGCCAGACTGGGTCGTTTGTGCAACTCGCCATAACTTTCTTCTAAGTGGGCCAATTTTTATGATTTAGTTGCCATTTTATTGCACTTATTGAGATCTACAAAATGAAACCAAAATCATAAGGATTGGCCGACTTAGAAGAAAGTTATGGCGAGTTGCGCAAAAAAAATTGCGGAAATTAGCCTACCCCGAAATTTTAAATCCTATTAGACTAAAACTAGCTGAAAAAGCTAAAAACTCATCTAAACTCATCTATTTAGTTGTATTTGGTATTAAAAGATGAAATCAGCTTTTTAGATGAGTTTTTCAGCTAGTTTTAGTCTAATAAGATTTCAAATTTCGGGGCAGGCTAATTTCCGCAATTTTTTTTGCGCAACTCGCTATAACTTTCTTCTAAGTTGGCCAATCTTTATAATTTTGGTTTCATTTTGTAGATCTCAATAAGTGCAATAAAATAAAACCAAAATCATAAAGATTGGCCCACTTAGAAGAAAGTTATGCCGAGTTGCACAAACGACCCAGTCTGGCAAAAAAAAGTTGCAGAAACTAGCCTACCCCTTTTTTTCGTCGGATTACTTTAATCGTGCCTTTACGGGGTGGCGCACAATTACCCGCACTCAGTTCAAATTCACATTTTAAACTTTGTTTCCTAATCAAAACTCAATGTTTTCTAGTAAAAATGAGTTAGATTTTGGAAATAATAAAACGAAGTAAATGAAGCTGGTTTTCTTTGATTTTGAGCCATTGAAACTAGTGACAAAAACTAGAAAATCGCGATTCCGCTGCAGGAAACGCGTATCGCAACTTTGCAGCGCTCTAGCAAAAGTTTAGAAAAAAAGCAAAGTCTGATCAAACCCAGGAAACACATGACAAGAGAAATATTCAATTTGATAATCCGGAAAGAATTAGCTCGATTGGTTGACTCTTCGCTAAGCTGGAGAATCTGATTGATTCATTCCGATCAGGTTCGAATCAAGTTTCAAATAAATAACACAAGTTTGGCATGAATAGCTGCGAAAAAGGGCTTTAGTTCTTACAAGGAAATCATTTACCTCCATATCCGTAATAGCAAGAGATGGTGA